TCTCCTGCTATCCCACTCCCTCCCTTCCTACCTCTCTCTCTCTCTCCAGGTGGGGTGAAGGTGACGTGTGAGTACACCACCCACCAGGAGGGGGTGTTGCAGGAGGAGCTGACGCTGGTCAGCCGGGGGAAGAGGGACCAACGTCTGCAGGTCAGACTACAGGCCCGGGTCATGGGTGAGTTACTCCTGTGTCCCTGATCATGCACATGTATGGACATAGACATACACACACAAACACAAACACACACGCGAACACACACAGTGACACACACTGATAATCTGGGCAGTAACCCTATGTTAATAGGGGAAATATCTGGTTAGTTACTACTTACTTATGGTATTTACAGTAATGCATACTGCTGAGTTAAATGCTATTATGCAACAAATGTACAATGGCCTGTCAGTGTTAAAGGGTGGACAGCACCCTCTGGTGGACTCAGAGCTCTCTACAACTTCCTCTACATAATAATAATAATAATAATAATATGCCATTTAGCAGACGCTTTTATCCAAAGCGACTTACAGTCATGCGTGCATACATTTTTGTGTTTGGGTGGTCCCGGGGATCGAACCCACTACCTTGGCGTTACAAGCGCCGTGCTCTACCAGCTGAGCTACAGAGGACCATAAAGGACCATAAAGGGACATCACACACTCAATATGATCCTTTGACTCAGCAAAATAACAGTGACTCTTCCGCTCTCTTTCTCAAAACATCCCCCCTCCAAGGCACAAAAACCCGAGAGACCACACAAGCGAAAGCCTAAAGAGGCAGAAGAAAAAAAAAAAGCGAAGAGAAGAAAGAAAAGGAGAGCGAGAGAAAGAGAACGAGAGAGAACAGACACAGAAAGAGACAAGAAAATCTCCCGGAAAACAAGAAACCTCCTCCCTCCCGCACTCGCTCCTCCCTCCCTCCCCTTCTCTCTCTCNTCCCCCACTCCCTCTCTCCCTCTCTCCCTCCCTCCCCTTCTCCCTCTCTCTATAGATCGCCACCATGGTACTCCCATGCTGCTGGAGGGGGTGCGGTGTCTGGGGGCGGAGAAAGAAAAAAGGAAATGAGCCGTCCGTCCCTTTATATCTTTCCCTCCTGTAGAGACCAGCCATCATCCGTCCCTTTATATCTTTCCCTCCTGTAGAGTCCAGCCATCGTCTGTTCCTTTATATCCACCCTCCTGTAGAGACCAACCATCGTCAGTCCCTTTATATTTTCACCCTCCTGTAGAGACCAGCCATCATCCGTCCCTTTATATCTTCACCCTCCTGTAGAGACCAGCCATCGTCAGTCCCTTTATATCCTACCCTCCTGTAGAGACCAGCCATCGTCAGTCCCTTTATATCCACCCTCCTGTAGAGACCAGCCATCGTCAGTCCCTTTATATCTTTCCCTCCTGTAGAGACCAGCCATCGTCCGACCCTTTATATCTTACCCTCCTGTAGAGACCAGCCATCATCCAACCCTTTATATCTTACCCTCCTGTAGAGACCAACCATCGTCTGTCCCTTTATATCCTCTCCTCCTGTAGAGACCAACCATCGTCTGTCCCTTTATATTTTCACCCTCCTGTAGAGATCAGCCATCGTCCGTCCCTTTATATCTTCCCCCCTGTAGAGACCAGCCATCGTCCGTCCCTTTATATCCTCTCCTCCTGTAGAGACCAGCCATCGTCAGTCCCTTTATATCCTCTCCTCCTGTAGAGACCAGCCATCGTCAGTCCCTTTATATCTTACCCTCCTGTAGAGACCAGCCATCGTCCGTCCCTTTATATCCTCTCCTCCTGTAGAGACCAGCCATGGTCCGACCCTTTATATCTTACCCTCCTGTAGAGACCAGCCATCATCCGACCCTTTATATCTTACCCTCCTGTAGAGACCAACCATCGTCTGTCCCTTTATATCCTCTCCTCCTGTAGAGACCAACCATCGTCTGTCCCTTTATATTTTCACCCTCCTGTAGAGATCAGCCATCGTCCGTCCCTTTATATCTTCCCCCCTGTAGCGACCAGCCATCGTCAGTCCCTTTATATCCACCCTCCTGTAGAGACCAGCCATTGTCCGTCCCTTTATATCCTCTCCTCCTGTAGAGACCAGCCATTGTCCGTCCCTTTATATTTACCCTCCTGTAGAGACCAGCCATCGTCCATCTCTTTATATCTTCACCCTCCTGTAGAGACCAACCATCGTCTGTCCCTTTATATTTTTTCCCTCCTGTAGAGGCCAGCCATCGTCCGTCCCTTTATATCCTCTCCTCCTGTAGAGACCAGCCATCGTCAGTCCCTTTATATCCTCTCCTCCTATAGAGACCAGCCATCGTCCGTCCCTTTAGGTCTTCCCCCTGTAGAGACCAGCCATCGTCAGTCCCTTTATATTTTCACCCTCCTGTAGAGACCAGCCATCGTCCGTCTATTTATATCTACCCTCCTGTAGAGACCAGCCATCGTCCGTCCCTTTTTATCCTTTCCTCCTGTAGAGACCAGCCATCGTCCGTCCCTTTATATCTTCCCTCCTGTAGAGACCAGCCGTCGTCCGTCCCTTTTTATCCTCTCCTCCTGTAGAGACCAGCCATCGTCCGTCTATTTATATCTACCCTCCTGTAGAGACCAGCCGTCGTCCGTCCCTTTAGATCAGGGTTCTTCAATTCCGGTTCTGGAGGACCTAAACACTTCTGTTTTTTATTTCTACCTGGTAGTTAATTGCACTCACCTGGTGTCCCAGGTCTGAATTAGCCCCTGATTAGAAGGAGAGGATGAAAAACAGAGGTGTTTCGGCCCTCCAGGACCGGAATTGAAGAACCCTGCTTTAGATCTTCCCCTCCTGCAGAGACCAACCATCGTAGTGGAGCCAAACCAGCACTTCCCTGCACTTAGCCGCACACATGCATGCACGTGTAGAGGCACACACACACACCAGAGGAGGCTGATGGGAGGAGCTATAGGAGGACGGCTTATTGTAAAGACTGGAATGGAATAAATGGAACGGTATCAAACATATAGAAACCACGTTTGACTCCGTTCCATTAATTCCATTCCAGCCACTACAATGAGCCTGTCCTCCTATAGCTCCTACCACCAGCCTCCTCTGACACCCCCCCCCCCCACACACACATACAAACACACACAAACACAAATAAACACACACAGATTTTTTGTGATTAGCCCTATAATGAAGACCAAGGTGTCCATGATTACTGGTCCATTATATAACCAGGCACTGCATCCACTATAGGTCCATTATATAACCAGGCACTACATCCACTATAGGTCCATTATATAACCAGGCACTGCAGCTCTTTGCTTCTCGTCCCTTCTGTCGTTCTGCAACAAGAGCCAAGCGTTAACCTGCCTTACATGATTAGAAATATTTGAGCCCTGAATGCTGATTGGCTGACAGCCGTGGAATATCAGACCGTATACCACGAGTATGACAAAACATTTATTTCTACTGCTCTATTTATGTTGGTAACCAGTTTATAATAGCAATAAGGCACCTCGGGGGTTTGTGGTATATTGCCAGTATACCACGGCTAAGGGCTGTATCCAGGCACTCCGCGTTACGTCGTGCATAAGAACAGCCCTTAGCCGTGGTATATTAGCCATATACCACAAACCCCCGAGGTGCCTCATTGCTTAAACATAACCTGTCATTGCATTGTGATATTCACTGAGTGTACAAAACCTTAGGAACACCTTCCTAATATTGAGTTGCACCCCCCTTTGCCCTCAGAACAGCCTAAATTCATTGGGCCATGGACTCTACAACATGTTAAAACTGTTCCACAGGGATGCTGGCCCATGTTGACTCCAATGCTTCTCACAGTTGTGTCAAGTTGGCTGGATGTCCTTTGGGTGGCGGACCATTCTCGATACACAAGGGAAACTGTTGAGCGTGAAAAACCCAGCAGCGTTGCAGTTCTTGACACACTCAAACCGGTGCGCCTGGCACCTACTACCATACCCCGTTCAAAGGCACTTAAATATTTTGTCTTGCCCATTCACCCTCTGAATGGCACAAATACACAATCCATGTCTCAATTGTCTCACGGCTTAAAAATCCTTCTTTAACCTGTCTCCTCCCCTTCATCTACACTGATTGAAGTGTATTTAACAGGTGACATCAATAAGGGATCATCAGCTTTCACCTGGTCAGTCTATGTCATGGAAAGAGCAGGTGTTCCTAATGTTTTGTCCACTCAGTGTACAGTATGTTTTCTGTGTGAGCGCCACCTTTCACCAACTATGTAAGAGTATGTGTTTTAGCCTACGTATCCTGCAAAACTGTCTCTGTACTGTACTAGATTCTCCTATACCTCTGTCAGTCAATAAAATATCCTGTCAACTGTTAACATGTAGATGTACACTATTGTTTTCCAGAGTCCTACAGTTCATTGTGTCCTACAGGATCCATATTATGTTCTTTGACTCATGATCAGGTATTATACATTGTGGTTGTTGAAGATTATGGGTGTTCAACACAGGAGGTTGGTTTCACCTTAATTGGGGAGAACAGGCTCGTGGTAATGACTGGAGCGGAATTCGTGGAATGGTATCAAATACATCAGACATGGTTTCCAGGTATTTGATGCCATTCCATTTGCTCCGTTCCGGCCATTTATTATGAGCTGCCCCTCAACAGCCTCCACTGGTGTTCAAGTATAGACGACAGCCACAAAGAGAATGTAATGAAGATGGCAGGTCAGGGCAGGAACACGGGCATTGAGCCAGCATAAAACTGGTCCACGGCTCCCAGACTCTCTGCCTTCATAACAAATGCAAGACAGTGGAGCCTAGAGTTGAAGACGGGTAGAAAACACAAACAACCCTACAAAGAAGAAAGCTCCCCAAACCATTTTTTCATTCTTGTTTTATCAACAAGAGGTTTTTCATTCTACTTTCTACCGTATTTTTATCCAAGACACAAATATCTACCCAAAGCCACCTCCCACACACCCTAACTCTGCCCTTTGGTTTCCTTATATGGAGATCATAGGTAGGTCTAAAGTCTGATCTGTTGTCAGCCGCCACACCTGTTCAGACGCAGGCTAAGGATCTACTAGCTGTGAGCTACTAAATAGACCATATTACTCCTGTATTACTAACGTCAGGGGTTAAAGGTTATATTCGGCACCTTCTAAGTGCGGCCCGGAATACGTGAAGAATTGGTGTTTCGTTGTCAAGAATACAGCGGGAAAGGATTACTGATATATCTGTGGCTGCACAGGATCCAAGAGCACAGCTTTCAAACTGTGCAGATATGAGTTAAGAAAGTAAAGTTAGGACTCTTAACGGTAAGGTTATGTTTAAAGTCTTGGACATATTCTGTTATTATCTAAATAAATATATTGTAAACTGCTGTTATTAGCCTACTTATTACTAATGAATGTAGCCACATTACGTGTAGCTAGTTATAACAATAATCATACAGATTATTCTCATGCAATAACTGAGATTCTGAATGCATAAATCAGGCATAATCCATGGGTGATAAAGTTTCAAGTATACTCAATAGCATACTGAAATCAAATCCCTCCAGAGAGAAAATCTTAGTTGACGTAGCAAGTCTACTGTACTTCCTTGGTATATTGTTTATCTCTGGAATGCAGAAAGACACGTTTTAATTCAGTCTCCATGTTTGTTGAAGGGATAGGCAATGAATAGGTTTGTTTGCTTCTCATAGTAATGTTTCGGAAGTAAGCCATAGTCAAATACCATAAAACTGTTCAAATCACAAGCAAGTTCATGTGAGAAGCTGATATCCCAGGTTAGTTTTACTGTCAAATGAAACATACTGCGTGTGCAACCACTGCTGAGTCATCGAGGAGAGGTGTCTGATCTGCTGTCCCTGTTGCTGGACCATAGGAGAGAGTAACCAGATTACCTTTATCCACTTTGGCTATTGTTTCAACTGTAGCTTTCTACTGCATGGGAACTGTAAGGGTTGGTGTGAGGTGTGACCCAGGTGCGGTGCAGGATAGACAGTAGGCAGAGGTGGTGAAACAAGGATCTTTACTGGTGGTCCCAAAACCAGGATACAAAACAACGGACTATTCACGAAAACAAATGTCACATATGTCTCCAAAAAACAGGCTGACAGCAAACAATACGAAATACTAACTCTGACTGGAAAAACACAATGACACAGGGAGAACACTTCTCGAGTACCTGTAATTCCGTCACATGATCCGACACTGATACGTACTGCTTGACATCAAGGAACCAGCAGAGAAAACTGAGCAAGGGAACACAGGGAAGTAAGGGCATTTTTGTTAGCCATAGCAACCAATGTTTTTGCACTGATTAATACACAAGTGAATCAGGTAGACACAGGTGACACCAATAGGCAGATAATTAGTCCCGACTATGAGTGAGGAGGTGCCTATGGTTGTCGGAGGATGACACCTAGTGTGTCGCTCCGGAACTGCGACCCACTCCTGTAACAGGGAACACAATATGATAGACCTTTTCTACAAACAACATAACTACAATGTTTGGGAAACATAATACATTTTCAACAAGAGTATCCCAAGTGGCTTATTTGCAGAGGAATGGTATTAGCTTGTTGTGGTCATATGGGAATGTGTGTTTAATAGACCTGTTTCTCTATGATTTGGATGTATATTGCTTCCTCTTGTTTCAATGATGCCCTTCAGCTGAGAGTTTCAGAAAGAGTATGAGGTTAGAGAGAGATGCAAGGTTTTGATACATGGCTAAATAACATTTTAGTCATTTAGCAGATGCTCTTATCCAGAGCGATTTACAGTTAGTGCATTCATCTTATTAAGACAGCTAGGTGAGACAATCACAGTGAAAGTAAATACATTTTTCCTCTCACCCCTCTTGCCTTTGTCAGGGACCTGAATGCTGGTGTCAAGACAGGATGAGTGACAACACTGCATTGCCTGAGGGTGCAGAGAGCGGGAAGAAAGAACATGTCCGCCAGTGGCTACATAGTAGTCCCACTGTCCCACAGGAGTATAATGAGGATGTTGCAGGGACAAGTCTTCTCTGCCCTGGTAAACAGGACATGGTGGCCCAGGAGGAGAGAGCAGAGTCACCTGGCTGCCTGTCAATGAAGAGTGATCACTCAATGGGTCAGCCAATCAACTTCCAACGAGGACGTGGCACAAGAGACAAAAGGTTTGGGCCTGTATTCACAGTCTCAGAGTAGGAGTGCTGGTCTAGGATCAGTTTCACCTTTTAGATCATAATTAATAATTTTATAAAGGACAGAGGGGAACTGATCCTTGATCAGCACTCCTACTCTGAGACACTTCAGGCCTTTTAACACTGCAATGATCTTAGCCCCGGGCTAAGACTGACCCTGGGCTAGCTTATCCTGTGTTCACACAAACATTTGTTAATCCTGGGCTGAAATATCCTAGGGACAGTGGGGAGAAGACGTTAGCCTGCCTGCATAGCAACCATTTTGTTAGCCATAGCAACCAATGTTTTCTCACTGATTAAAATATTTCATTTTTTGTCACGTTGTTGACCTCAGATGGAAGGATGAAATAGTATAAATGTACTTATTAAAATAGTGTGCATAACTCAACACAGGCAGCACAAGCATATGCAAATTAGGTGAAAATCCAGCTATTGTGATTGGACAGTGAAAAAGGAGATAAGTTTTTCTTGAACCCCTGTTTGACACCGGCTATTTTGGCACCGTGTTTCTGGGGATAAACCCTAAAAAGTTGGTGCTAACCCTGCTCTGGAGCAGGACCAGCTAGCCCTGGGCTAAGGATGGTGCTAACCCTGCTCCGGAGCAGGACCAGCTAGCCCTGGGCTAAGGATGGTGCTAACCCTGCTCCGGAGCAGGACCAGCTAGCCTTGGGCTAAGGATGGTGCTAACCCTGCTCCGGAGCAGGACCAGCTAGCCTTGGGCTAAGGATGGTGCTAACCCTGCTCCGGAGCAGGACCAGCTAGCCCTGGGCTAAGGATGGTGCTAACCCTGCTCCGGAGCAGGACCAGCTAGCCCTGGGCTAAGGATGGTGCTAACCCTGCTCCGGAGCAGGACCAGCTAGCCATGGGCTAAGGATGGTGCTAACCCTGCTCCGGAGCAGGACCAGCTAGCCTTGGGCTAAGGATGGTGCTAACCCTGCTCCGGAGCAGGACCAGCTAGCCTTGGGCTAAGGATGGTGCTAACCCTGCTCCGGAGCAGGACCAGCTAGCCCTGGGCTAAGGATGGTGCTAACCCTGCTCCGGAGCAGGACCAGCTAGCCCTGGGCTAAGGATGGTGCTAACCCTGCTCCGGAGCAGGACCAGCTAGCCTTGGGCTAAGGATGGTGCTAACCCTGCTCCGGAGCAGGACCAGCTAGCCTTGGGCTAAGGATGGTGCTAACCCTGCTCCGGAGCAGGACCAGCTAGCCCTGGGCTAAGGATGGTGCTAACCCTGCTCCGGAGCAGGACCAGCTAGCCCTGGGCTAAGGATGGTGCTAACCCTGCTCCGGAGCAGGACCAGCTTGCCTTGGGCTAAGGATGGTGCTAACCCTGCTCCGGAGCAGGACCAGCTAGCCATGGGCTAAGGATGGTGCTAGAATGTTCAAGTGTGAACACTCGCATAGCCGCAGGCTAAAATCTCCATAAGCCCAGGGATAAGGAGACTCTTAGACCCGGGCTAAGGTGCAATGAGAACAGGCCTTTTGAATATGGGTCCCGATTTCCAACTGACATTTTGCAGTCATTACAAGCTATGTTATGGGGTTGGGGCACTGACTGTATTTTTCACAGGGAGGGAGCAGAGTCACCTACGCCCAGCTGTGTGTCAATGAGGAGTGACCGCTCAATGGATCCACCGATAAACTACCAGAGAGAGTTTATTCCCAATCCCAGGTAATTTATGATTTTCATAATGAGGACATTGCAATGGGTCAATGGGTCAGCTAATCGACTTCCACAAGGTCACGGCGCAAGAAACAAAAGGTCTGGGCCCGTTTTCACAGTCTCAGAGTAGGAATACTGACTAGCATCAGTTTTTGATATTATTTTGCATATTCTCTGATGACGGTAGACTGACCGAAAGCTCAGCCACAGTTAAATAAATGAATTTGCATCTGACTGGGAATGTGCAGAGACCTTTTCCTGTTTCTCCACTTTAGCATTTTGACTCCAGCACCTTCACTAAATCGGTTTGGGTGTGCTGAAGATTTGGCCTATTATCTACAAGATCATAATGAATGGACAGGTGGGGACCTGATCCTAGATCAGCACTCCTACTCTGAGAAGCTTTGAATGTGTGATTGCAAAATCTTGCAAGCGATTGTACATCATGAGGATAGGATTGATTAAAAACACATCTCCATGTATTTTTCACAGGGAGGGAGCAGACTCACCTACACCCAGCTATCTGTCAATGACGAGTGACCAGTCAATGGATCCATCTCTAAGGTAATTTATGATTTTTATTTGATCTAACAGTCGGTCATGTGGGAAATCATTACTATAAAAAATAAACAAAACGAAAATACACAATACCATGCATGTATGTATAAAAACAACATTTGAGGTTATCCAAAACAGCTAATTTGTTTAATTTCAAATGAATGTGTTTCAACCTAATGTATTTCCACCTAATGTATTTCCATCTAATGTAGGATGAAGATTTCAGACATAACACAACTATCCATTGGTGGAGTGCATGCAACAATGGTATGTTGGCAAGATTTGAGCTGAAATTGTATGTATTCATTGTAAATGTATATTCAGTGGATTGTTGTTTGTTCTTAATAATAAACAAAAGGCATTGGTGATTTGGCAAATAACAAATATTAACTACATGTGCAGGTACAGTAACTGTTAATTGGTTTTCAAAAAAATACTACTGCATTTGTTGATGATCATTTTTATTTATTTGGTTCTCAGCCTACAGAACATCAAGGTATGAACAGAGCCAGCGAACTCAGAGAATTCCCACAGAGAATCGAAGACTGGACTAAGGAGCATGTGAAAGAGTGGCTAATTAGTAGCCTCAAACTCCCTGAGGTCGCAACAAAACTTTATGAACAGGATGTGTCAGGAGCTAGCCTGGTTTGCATTGAGAAACAGGACTTGACTTATTTAGGTGTTAAGTTTGGGCCTGCGATTCAAATCATAAAAAATGTAGAGCTACTGAGAAACTACTTGGAGAGTGTACGGAGAAGCATGAGATCCCATGAGAGTGACCCCTTCAGAAGACAGGAAAGATTTAGAGCCATACCAGAAGCTAGGATAGGGTCACATGAGGAAACTACGGATTCTGACAGTGTGAAATCGGAGTCGGTGGCTCCAAGTCTAAGCTCTTCATGGACATCAGTGGAAGAACTGAGACGTTCAGATTCAGATGTTGCATCCCCCATTCAGCTGCCAATGGGAGAGTCGGAATCCATTCCAGCTTATGGAAATATGGAGGACAATCCGAGAAAAAGTGAGACTTCCATCTCATCATTTGAAACAGCTCCGAATCTGGAGAAGAGAATATGTCCCCCACGTCCCTTCGACAAAAACGACCCATCGTTCACATACATACAAAATGATACCCTCCCGCCTGAAGCCGGTCCAAGCAATCTCATTGAGCCGGTACATGAGTACAAGATCCTGCCAAGCACAGAGGAAGCCAGTGAGAAAGATATTCTTGACAAGTTCAGCAAGGAAGTATTTTGTTTTTCCGCAGCCTGCATGAACTCTCGCACCAATGGGACCATTCATTTTGGGGTGACAGGCGGGCCCGGACACATGCATGGACAGGTGATTGGGCAAAAACTGCCATCATTCAATATGTATACAGACAAGTTTGACTTTCGTCTCAAGGAACACTTTGGAGAAAAAACAAACATCGCAAGAGCATGCATCAGGCCTCCAAAATTCTTTCAGGTTCAACATCTAGATGGCACGACTTCAGACAAGTGGGTGATAGAAGTTGATGTTGTCCCAAGTTATTCACAGACTCAAGAGAAGCTTTTCTATACCTCAATAATATCTGAACATAGTGGAGAAGAACACAAAACTGAATGTCTATTTCTTCGACAAGGCCCAAAGAGCATCAACGTTCTTGCAGACAATAATCCCAGAAGTCTTCAGGAGAAGATGAGTGGTTTGACAGAGGAAGTCAAATGTTGGTCATCAGCACGCAAGTCAAAAGAGGAGAGCAACTGTCAGCAGCCCAACCAAAACCACCAAGGTCAGAGGCTAAAACAATTGATAACGCATGGGAGAGACACACTTGAAAACTCATTGCAAGTTATAGTTGTCACAAACAAGTGCCACCTCAGTCAACTTGAGCATTTGGGTTTTTTGAAAGAGATGAAGTTGTTTGCAGTGCTCGAGTTTGACCCAGAATCTGACATGAACGGGACATGCTGTTTCTACAGAACAGATCGCATAGCTAATCTTCACTACCCTCGAATGTACAATACCAATGACAGTGTCTCCACTGTTATCGGAAAGCTGAACTTGTTTAAGCAGACAAGCTGGGTATTTTGTAATGGTAGAGCCAATGAGGACAGTGAAGCAGACAGACCTTTCACTACCAGTGATTGGCTGAAGAAACGCGCCGGAGAAATCAGCGATATGGTTTCATTTCTCTGCCATCCAGATGTCTTGACGAAAGACAGATTACTTGTGGTGTTCATGCTTCACTCAGGAGTCACTGACATCTCAAGCCCTATACTCGAGGCCTTTTGTGCAATCTATCGCACTCTTGAGGGTGAGGATAATATGCTCTGCATATGCAAAGATTCAAATGTGTTCAGTCAATGGAGAGACATGATACACACTCGCTGCAAAATGGATATCACCAGTAAATGTATCTACGAACTGAGTCTGAATGAAATCAACTGCACCATCAGGAAAATCAAAGAACCCCAGACACGGTCCTCTAGGAGATATCTGCCATCTTCTGGCTCCAGTTCGGTCCTCCTGACACAAAAAGATGAAGAGCTGATGACCGTACTTGATATCCTGAGTGAAAATGAATGTGAGAACACTGAAATTGAAACCAAGGACACTTTTGAGGAATTCAAGACCAACACGGAGGAGGACTTTTATAGAGGCGGACAGGTGACTTGGTGGAACTTCTACTTGTCTGAGAGGCCAGGTTGTCTGCCATTCATCAAACGTGACAAGTATGAGGATCTTCACAACCTGATCACACCTACAGAGGGGTACACATCACCATGTGTAATAATCAACCTCTTCCATCATCCAGGTTGTGGTGGAACAACACTGGCCATGCACGTGTTGTGGAACTTGAGACGTAAATTCAGATGTGCCTTTCTGAAAAACACCATAGCACAGAACAGTGAGATCGCAGTCCAAGTCGCACACCTGCTGACCTGTGGCAAAGAGAAGCAGTCGAGTTTTACTCCTGTTCTACTCTTGGTGGACAACTGGGAGGACGTTGAAGACCTACAGAGATGCATACTAAGTGCAGCCAATGAGAAGAAGAAACCTGAGACTCTGATGGTGATCATACTGAACTGTGAGAGATCACAGATTCCTGCAGAGAGCTCCAGAAACAGCCGACTTGACAACGTGTTCATTATCAACAAACTCTCCACCAAAGAGCAGAGCTTCTTTGAGGTGAAACTGAAAGAGCTCAAAGGTCACCATGAAAAACCTGAAACGTTCTACGCCTTCATGATCATGACAAACAATTTCAGTGAGAAGTACATCAAGAATCTGGTGTGCAACACCCTGAAAGACCTTGACACCTCCAGAAAAGAAGGACAGCTATTTTCACTCTTAGCTTTGCTAAATACGTATGTGAACGGCTCCTACATGTCCCTGTCCCTGTGTGAGGAGTTTGTGGGGATTAGGAATGCCCTGTGGGGAAAGGAGACACTTGAGGACAAAATGAACCCATACTCCACGCTTCTGATCCGCTTCAACATTGAAGAGCACGGCACTTATCAGGCAGTTAGGTTTCTACACCAAATGATTGCAAGTAATTGCCTTAAAGTCCTTACCGGAAAGCACAAGCTTCAACTGGGGGAAATAACAACCAATCTGTTGCACTGTGACTTGCTGTACAAATCTGGGATGGGTAAGGACATCCTGGTTCAAAACATCCAAAGTATGCTGATCACGCGGCAAAGAAAGGAACTTGGACATGACAAAGATACACTGTTCTCTCCATTGATTGAAGATATACAGACGGATGAGGGAATCAGCCAAATCAAAGAAGTTCTTGTAAGAGCAACAAAGAGATTTGACAAAAACGCAACTGTGCCACAAGCTTTGGCAAGGCATTTCTACCTGAAAGAGAAAGATTATACATCTGCTCTGCAATGGGCCCAGGATGCACAGCAGAAAAAGTACAATTCTTACATTGCTGACACATTAGGGCAGGTGTACAAAAGCCACCTGAAATATGAAATTGAGCATGCTGAAGAGCTCACACCAGAAGTGTTAGACAAATGCCTCAAATTAGCATTTCAGGCCACCAAAGCATTCAGAGATTCACAGGAACTCGCGAAGAAGGATGAGCCAATGGATTCCCTTGATCTGCCCAACAGAAAGAGGCAACGAACCTACAACACATCTGGGTATGTTGGTGAAATGGAAGTTTCAATTATTATTTTTGATATCATTCAAGATATTCCTTTCTTCAACAAAAGTGACGCACACCAGAGAGACAAAATGCTGCAGTTCCTCAAAAACCACTTGCCAGTGAGTGATTTTCATGAAACAAGCAACAGTACAAATGTTCAATTCATTGCTGTTCTGGCAGACCATGAGAAATTCCTGGTCTCTTTGAAGCCACGGCTGAAGGAGATGTTCAGTTTTTTTGAGAACTACTTCACATACCTGAAGCCGAGGTCAATCGAGAAGGAGACAGCAGAGGACAGAAACAAACGAAAAGTATCAGAGCACTTCAAGAAGTACATGCAGATCTTCTGTTCCTCGGGAGAAGAGAGGGCCTCTGAAAGGGCCAGTAAACCAAAACTGAGTCTCCGTCAGGAGATAGAGGAGCAGCGAAACTATTTGGAGCAAAAGCGAGCAGATTCATTTGCTGGGCTTCTCCAGTGTCTGAATGAGAAGAATGGGTTACAAATGGAATTAATTCTGAAGAAATGGCAGTTCATTGTTCAACATTCTACACGAAAACTCATGGCTGACCGGATCAATTTCATCCTTGCAAACATTGTTCTTCACTGCATTAAGCCAAGCTCAACATTGCTGAAGAGGTACGAGGAGCTGGTCTCCCTTCTCAACGAGGCACTGCAAGAAGAGGGAACCCATTCAAACTGCACAGAGCTATACTACCTCTCAATGTTGCTGATGTGGCCAAGAAAGGACAACTTGCTTGAAAGCACAACAACATTCAAAAACATTGGCACGTACGTCACATCATCGAAAAAATCCTTCCATCGTCGCTTCTCCCACATGTTTCCGGCGAAGAGTTGCATCGCACATTTCTACCTCGGTAACTCAAGAGGACTGAGGAGAATAATTCACAAAGGCAGGCTTGATCAGTTCCTGTGCAAAGAGGGACCCAAAACCTCACACAAGAAGGCCTCATTCAAAGATAGACCCCCAAACCCGCATCAACTGTGGCAAAGTGGAGCAATATGGAGGGATCCTGAGATACAAAACCTGTTACTACGGGTCAAAGGGAAAACTGAAAACGGTGACATTTATGTTTACTACGGGGGCAATCTGAAAATCTCAGTACGTCCAGTATACCTTGGTGGAGTCCGGAGTGGATGCAGCACGGAGGAGGTCTCCTTTTACCTTGGATTCACCATGGAGGGACCCGTAGCCTATGACATAAAGTATGACAATGACCCGTAAACAGCTTACCATCAGGTAGACTGAGTAAGGGACGCAAGCGTTCGCACTTAGGGAAAGGAAAGGTTTCCATTGAAGTTATATAGGTCTATAGGGTTTGACTTGGGTGAATGTCTGTGAACCAGGACAGAATCACAGTAAGTAAGATACAAGTGTGCTCTTGTCACTGTGTGAGGAAACACAACCTCAACCACCTGGGTATAATCAAAGCAGAGAGAACAGGTGTCGGGTGACATGCAGCAATGAATCATTCATGCTTTTAGAGGTGGAACAATGACAATCAATCTTGCATAAGAAATGGATTGCACTCTCTCTAAGTCCCTCTAATTTTAACATTTGAAAATACAGTACTATACAGTAGCAGATCAATGAACAAGCATTGTAGGCCTATAAACCATGTGCAACTATTCAATGCTTAAAACATTTTTTTATGATTTTGCATTGTGTTTGTTGAAAGTATCAAATGATTATTATGTTACAAGGCATATCGACTTTCTGCAAGTTATCCTGTTATGCAGCTTCTTCAGTTGTTTGTCTAAATGCATTCAATTGTGCGGTTATATTAAATTATATGCTACATTATTTACAAGAGACAAGAAATTAGGATAAAACCTATTGTCAATGTTGTTAATTTAATGGAATAAAGATGATTGCATACTATATATATATATATATATATATATATATATATATATATATATATATATATATATATATATATATATATATATTTGAGAGTATTTTTTCTCTGAATGTTCTGTACAACGATTATGATTATATAAAATATCTTCACCTGCATGTCTTGCACCCTACTGAAAATATTTAATATTTAAATTTGTGACACTTTTGACCCCGGTATTGTGCCAAATTAATATTATTAACCTACAGTAAAGCACTGTTTGATTATTTTGTTGTTGTGTTTAATTTACCAGAAAATGTTTCATGTGCCACTTTGGCTTTTCTATATCTTACCATTTGCCCATTTTCAGCTGGACAACTATACAAAATGGCCATCCCTGAAATGTGCTGGTCCTAATCATATTTTACAAATACAAACACAACAGGCAGATAGACTATCTTTAATGATTATATTAATTTGCTACAAAAAATAGCTTTTGATTCTACATAATATGTGGTTCTGTTATGTTTTACAGTAGTTGAAATACAGTTTTTAAGAATAACTGGTCTGACAGCACCCTCTACTGGACCAACACAAAGATAACGACATTGTTAATCACACACTGACAGTGAGGGGCTGATTACACAATACCTAACAATTAACTAATTATTCTTATGATTATTTGTTTAAACAATAGGGTCCCTTAAAGACGTGTGTGAGGTGCTGATGGTGAGAAAGTACACTATTTTTCTCAGTCAACCTGTCCAATACAATAATGGTTGTTGCTAATAATACAGTAAATAAGAATATTCTGTTCAAAACAAGTAGACAACATGTACTGTCTGTTTGCTTGTGTCCTTACTGTATCTGTCTGTTGTTCTCTCGTTGTTCAACGTATTAAAACTCCAAAACCAATGTCCAGTAGGGGGTAGTATTCCCAAAACTATAGCTACACGGACCTTTATAGCCGCAAGACAGCAAGCAATATGAAGTCAGAAACATTTAATCTGAAGTTAAAGATAGATAGCTAAAAAAGTAGGTTTCTTACCGGATATCTAAATGAAGTCAAACCAACGCATCAAGGTTTTCTATTATGAAGGCATTTCTTTGTCAAACATAGTGAATAGTAAACGTTAGTCTTGGCTTGCTGCAATTGTAGCTTAAAAGCGGATAGCATTCTTCTTCATTTTTCAAATTTTAGGATTGTCTGAATTTGTGCTAATAAAATAAGGTCCTCAACTCGATCCCAAATGTTTTGACGCGTAAGCTAGGGAAGGTATCACGTTCAAGTTATGGCAATTTCAAATGTAGTGTATATGTCAGGATGGCCGAGCGGTCTAAGGCGCTGCGTTCAGGTCGCAGTCTCCCCTGGAGGCGTGGGTTCGAATCCCACTTCTGACATTAATTTTTTTGAAATGTAGACGCAATATGCCTTTGTTTGTAACATGTTTATATTGAACAAGAAATGTATGTCAGAAAAGGTTGTTCAGTGTTATGACACTGAAGGTATAGTTCAAATATGTATTTCCTTACCTTGAAAGCAGTCTATGACTATGAAAAATGAGTGACTGCAATACACAATATGGTTTTGTAAACTAACGACTGCATACAATTAGCAACATTAGCAATTTGAGATACATTTCCCACTATGTATGTGTATATATTCCCCCCGTTTAGCAGGCCAGGCACTGACTTTGCAACATGTATAAGTGCCAAGAGAACTCATCAAGCCTGTGTGCCCAATTATTTATATATATACAGTAGATGACTGATAGGGGCGCTGTGTTGAAGCCACCGTGCCTCCATCTTGGCAACCCCCACCATTGTAAAAAATATTTTGGAAGCTATAGAAATATATTTATTAATGCCTATTTTGTTTTTGCCACATCTATTATATTACAGACACCTAAATACATACTTTAAAATTAGATTATGTGAGCTAAATATACACAAATTTACAAATATATAAAAACATTTTTCATAAAGTATATATTTTTTAGATTCCTAATGTTACTGTCCCCAATAAAAAAATTAATAAAACTAAAACTTAAATACATGTAGTTTTGTCCTTGAAACATTTAAAGCTGCAACTTTTTGGGCAACACGACCAAATTCATATAGACATATGAGTAATAGATCTGTCATTCTCATTGAACGCAAGTCTAAGAAGTGGTATATCTGTTCTATGTGCACTATTTCTATGCTTCCCGTTCTTAAGTATCGTTTTTGCGTCTCCTTACTTTTGGTTTTGTACACCATCTTCAAACAGCTGAAAATACAATACTTTTGGTTATTGAAAATATATTTCACATCGGTTTAGATGGTAAAATGACTTTACACCAGGGGTGTCAAACTCATTTTAGCTCAGGGGCCACATGGAGGAAAATATATTCCCAAGTGGGCAGGACCGGAAAAATCATGGTATATATAACTTAAAAACAACAACTTCAGATTGTTTTCTTTGTTTTAATACGATCAGTGTGTCCAAAATAGTACAAGCAAAACATCATTATTAATCATAAAACAAGTCAAGTTTATTTGAAAATTCTAAAGAAAAAGAACACACAAACACACAATGCCTCAGTGATTAACAGAACTGTTTCACAGATCACAGAACTATATCAGGGTGTCATTTCTCGGGCAGAAATGTAGATAAAAATAATGAAATCCTGTTCCCCAAACAAGTGCAAGAACCACAGAGTCAAGAATAGGTTAAATATACAAATAAAATAAAAACAATTAAAAACAATAGCGCATCAACATAAAAACATATAAACTTAAAGCTGGAGCCTGAGGACAGTGTCCAAAAGCACAACATCACTATTAATCATTAAACACCTCAAGTTATTTGAAAGTTCTGGGGACAAAGAACACACAAACACACAATGCCTCAGTGATTAACAGAACTGTTTCACAGATCACAGAACTATATCAGGGTGTCATTTCTCAGGCAGAAATGTAGATAAAAATAATGAAATCCTGTTCCCCAAACAAGTGCAAGAACCACAGAGTCAAGAATAGGTTAAATATACAAATAAAATAAAAACAATTAAAAACAATAGCACATCAACATAAAAACATATAAACATAAAGCTGGAGCCTGAGGACAGTGTCCAAAAGCACAACATCACTATTAATCATAAAACACCTCAAGTTATTTGAAAGTTCTTAGGACAAAGAACACACAAATACACAATGCCTCAGTGATTCACAGAAGTATATCACAGATCACAGAACTATATCAGGGTGTCATTTCTCAGGCAGAAATGTAGATAAAAATAATGAAATCCTGTTCCCCAAACAAGTGCAAGAACCACAGAGTCAAGAATAGGTTAAATATACAAATAAAATAAAAACAATTAAAAACAATAGCACATCAACATAAAAACATATAAACATAAATCTGAAAGCGTTGCTCAAACTCCCGTAACAGTCCCGTTATTTTATCTTTGAACCGCTTCATGTCTGCCACATGTTGGGTCGCGCACACATTTTTCAGACAGGGGAAGTGAGCTGCATCACCACCGGCAAGTTGCGTCTCCCACAATGACAGCTTCAACTTGAAAGAACGTATGCTGTCATAATACTGCGTGACAACTTTGTTGCGCCCTTGCAGCTGTTTGTTCAAGTTATTCAGGTGCTCTGCACCATCTGTAGCCAGGCTGACAGTGCGGGACCAGTCCACTCCGACCCTGTCCAGCGCGCCGACGAGTGAGGTAAAAATATCAGCTGCTGTCGTTGTATCTGTCATCGGCACCAACTCCACAAACTCCTCGGTGACGGTCAATGTGTCATCAACTCCGCGGATGAAAATGGCCAGTTGTGCAACATCTGTAATGTCCGTGCTTTCATCAATTGCAACCGAAAACGCAATAAATGACTTTACTTTTTGCTTCAACTGGCTGTCCAAATCCACTGAAAGATCGGAAATCCTGTCTGCAACTGAGTTTCTTGTCAGGCTGATATTTGCAAAAGCCTGCCGCTTTTCAGGGCACACAATCTCCGCTGCCTTCATCATGCATGTTTTTACAAATTCACCCTCACTAAATGGTTTTGAAGCCACTGCGATTTCATTAGCAATGAGGTAGCTAGCTTTCACTGCAGCGTCACTGATGTCTCGGCTGTGAGTAAACACAGACTGCTGTTTCTTCAGACCCGCCAACAGTTCATTCACCTTCTCTCATCTCCGCTGTCCTTGAAAGTTGTCATATTTGTCGGCATGAAGACTCACATAGTGGCGACGAAGGTTATATTCTTTCAGCACTGCAACATGCTCTGAACACACCAAACATACAGCTTTCCCATTCAATACCATGAATAAATAGGATGACCATTTTTCTTGGAACACTCTGCACTCTGCATCCACTTTTCTCTTTTTTGACAGAGACATATTGGGGCAATGAGGGTGCCAAAGCACATAATGTTAAAAGTAGAAGCCGTAATAAATATCGCGGGCAAAACAAAGTAGCTCATTGGCTGCACGTGCTTGACCTACTTGCTCTGCCCCGGTATAAACAGTTTGCTTGCTTAACACAATTGCTATTGCGCCATCCAGTGGACGCAATTGGAACAGCAGTTTATTTTATTGAAAAATTGCAGCACATTTTTATACTTTACAAATTTTATTTTTATTTTTATTTTTTAAATCTTTTATTTTTATTTTTTTTATCATCTCGCGGGCCGGATTAAACCCGTTTGCGGGCCTGATCCGGCCCGCGGGCCTGATCCGGCCCGCGGGCCGGACGTTTGACACCCCTGCACTAGGTGTTGGAACATTGCTGCTGGGACTTGCTTCCATTCAGCCACAAGAGCATTAGTGAGGTCCGTCACTGATGTTGGGCGATTAAGGTTTGACTCACAGTCTGCGTTCCAATTCATCCCAAAGGTGTTCAATGGGGTTGAGGTCAGGGCTCTGTGCAGGCCAGTCAAGTTCTTCCACACAGATCTCGACAAACCATATCTGTATGGACCTCGCTTTGTGGACAGGGGCATTGTCATGCTGAAACAGGAAAGGGTCTTCCCCAAACTGTTGCCACAAAGTTGGAAGCACAGAA